CCAAAGCTGCGGGTAAAAGTGTCGGGGTGGATGCTGGCCAGGCGAGTTCATACAGTAGAAGTCACTCAGATAAAATGACTTTCATCACTCCAAATACAAAACCGAGAACAAAATATGATCTACTAATTAAAGAGCACAGCGACTTCGTCGTGGCTTTGAGATCCCAATCTGCGGGAAGGTTTATGATAAATAAACGCTTTGAGAAGACCATATCATCACATATCATCATGATGGAGTCGTAGCAAGAAGATGCATGAGGTTGAAATATATATTCACGTATCATTACAGGCTGGCTCGAGAATTCCAGCACATCTCACAGCAGAAGGAACCAGCTTACAGTTCACTCGCTGTATGGCTAACACCGTTTCCATCGGGCTCGGCTGGAGTCATCATGCTCATGAAGTCGCCAGCGGGAGGATTGGCCGCCTTAACGGTAGGTGAACCAAACCCACCATGAGCACTGTAATCGTATGCCTGGCCTCCGTGGTAAGAAACATCCATGCCGTTTACTTCTTTCTCCTCTGATACACGAAGACCCACCGTGTATTTCAGCGCCATCAGGATGAGGAACGTCACCACTGCCGAGTAGGCAGCAGCCACACATTGTGAAACGAGTTGGTGTACGAATTGCATTCCATGGCCGTAGAAGGCACCACCGTCGGTAGCCGGGTTGATCTCGGAGGTAGCGAATAGACCCGTAAGCAGGCCCCCCATGAAGCCACCGCAGCCGTGGATACCGAACGAATCGAGAGTATCATCGTAACGCAGAACATTCTTGAGGTGAACAGCACCGAAACCAGTAGCAGAACCGACGACGCCAAAGATGACAGCAGCCCACGGATACACGAAGGCACAACCAGGAGTGATGGCCACAAGTCCAGCCACAGCTCCGCTAACGGCACCGCATGGATCAAAGTTCTTGTGTAACGCAAACTCAAGAGCAGACCAGGTCAGGAACCCAGCACACGGTGCCAGGTGAGTGTTAATAGCAGCAATAGCTGCAATCCCGTCAGCAGCACCCTGGGATCCGGCGTTGAAGCCAAACCAGCCGAACCACAGCAGTGTAGCACCGATCATCACCAGAGGTACGTTGTGCGGCTTCACTGGCTCGCCGTGGTTGTAACGTTTGCCTACCACAATGGCGGCCACAAGCGCACCAAATCCACTGGAGACGTGGATGACTGTACCACCAGCGAAATCGAGTGCACCCATCTTGCCCTCCCAGCCCATAGCGGTGACCTCCCAGTTTTCATCGAGCTTGAGGGACCACATCCAACGAGCAAGTGGGTCGTACACGATGGATGTCCACAGTAGAATGAAGAGCAGGTAGCTACCGAACTTCATGCGACCAACAATTCCACCGCTGATCAACGCTGGTGTGATGGTGGCAAATTGTGTCTGGAAGAAGGCGAACAGGATGTGAGGGATACTGCCACCGTAAGTCCCGCTGGCGACGGCGCCGACGTTGTTGTAACCCGCCCATGCGAAAATACCGTCGGAGCTGAAGCTCGCTGAGTACCCGAAGGCGAAGAACTGGATCGATACCATTGCCATGCTCACGAACGACATCATCATCGTGTTTGACGCCATGTCTTCACCGGCCAAACCAGCGTAGAAGAAGGCAACACCCGGGGTCATGAGCATCACCAGGGCGCTTGACATGAGCATCCATGCCGTGTTGCCTGAATCGATGGTGGTATCATAGGCATTTCCAGCTTTTTCACCTCGCGAAGAGTAATTGACGCACTCGTTGGTTGTGGAGTCGAGATATTGAAAGACTTCGCAGGTGACGGTCGACCCTGCGGTGTCCTGGGCCGAGACTGTCAAGGCACCGAGTGCAACAGCTGCGGTTGCAGCGATGACGAGTCGAGTTAATGACGTATTAATTTGACGAAGCCCGAGCATGCTTCAGGTGAGGACTTGAGCAGGCCGAGGCAGTTTGTGAACTGACAAGCTGCCGGAGACTTCGACTTGCTCTGCTGGACTATCCCGTCCGGTCTCCTTTTAGTTTGTACAGGAACAGATGGCGATGAAACTAACCGCAAGACAAAAAGCATCTACATTATTAAAGCGGTTGGGTTCTGCTGGCAGTTCAGTCCAGAGGCGGAAGAACTGGGTTACAGTTTCACTTGTGTGCTTTCTGAATTAATGGCTGTGTGAACTCTGGTGTTTCTGGTAGAAATTGTAGTTTGTTAAATGTCGAGGTAACACCACTGGTAAGCAATTCGACTGCCTTGCCGATTAATTGTACAGGTGGACTCAGTCGCAATCCGGCTGTGGTGGACAAGGATCCACCACCAACAGCTGAAGGCTATTGACCTTTTCGCTTGCGTAGCAATCGGAAATCGCGGCAACTAAATCTCCGTAGAATTTCTCCCACCCACAGTGTGGTTTTACTTATTTA